AGCATTGATCTGTTGAGTTCCACTCCAAGTCTTAAATGATGTGCAGGGTCCAAGGTAAGAAAAGCAAGTGCTGCAGCTTGATTGTAGAGCGCATTGCATTTGTCCAAAATTGTAATCTTATAAGATTTCGGTGCCACTTCAAGAGCACGTTTATAAAAATCAGCAGACCTGGTTATAAGTTTAAGAATTAACATACAGCTTCAGATGAAAAACCTTGGATTCACTTGATACACCACTTTTGAGTAAAACGCAGGAAGAAAGTATCTCCAATGTTTTAACCATCGACAAATATTTTTCGCGCAGATACAGCATGTAGCTTAAGTACACTTTTGATTTTTTATTATCGAATTTGTTTAATCTGCATACCGATGCTTTGATCATACCAGAATAGCAATTCAGTGTCACCAGGAGAAGATTGCGCTCTTCGAAGCATAGATCAGGTTTGCGTATCACAAAGACAGGCAGAAGTTTAAATGCATCTTAAAGTCAACTAAGATAATCCATGTTACCTTCGAACCTGTTAGACAATAAAGCTAATTCGATAAGGCACCTAAACTCGGGGGAACCACGCATGATCAAAGGATGCACCGTTTCTCATCTCTCAGATAACGCTTGTATCGTTGGCTTAAACAATATGTTTATTCGAACCTTTCTAGCGCAATAATATCCTGTAAAAGCCTTAAAAAATTTACAAAATAAATTTTTATTTGTATTATTTTCTAAATATTTGCTATTAGAATACAAATGTGCTGTAATATGTGAGTATGCTTATTCCTTTTTTGAAAGTTTTCTTTATTTTTCTACAATGTTTTATTAGTTAACGCAAAATTTTAGTCTCAAATGTTTGTATTTATTCTTATGCAATCTTTTTACAGTGTATTCTTGTCCTGGCTTATCTCTAAAAAAAACTTGCTGAGTAATTCGGTTGATTTCAGTCATCGAATTAGCCATTCATAATGGCCATAGGCAATTCAAATTTTTATTTTCATTTTAAGTTATTAAGAGCTAGCCGGGAGAGTAGATTAAGAGTAGATTTATTATCAAGTCTTTGAAGTTGCTTATGCCAAAAATAGCTGACTCAAAAATGAAAGAGGTGGAAAATTCCTTTATTC